GTGATCTTCAGGTCGGAGCTCTAGAATGAGGCCCGAGTTCCCGACTTGCAATTCCGAGTTGGATGACCGTTCAAAACTTATTTTCTTCTTCAGTCGGAGCTCGTTTTTTTAAGAGTTCCCAGTTGTCTTGAACTCACTGAAGTCTGAGATTTCCCAGTTCCAGTGAGTTTCCAGTTGTTTTGAGTGCGGCAGAAGTCCTGCTGGATTGACAGCATGGCCAAAGTCGAATGTTTATCCTTTTAAGCTTGGAAAAGAGACCCTTAAACCCAGACTTGGACCACACACCCACTCCACTGAATAGCAGGCTAGTGATTGATTTGCAATGCTTGCAGTTAGCCACTGATTCCTTCCAAACCACTCATTGTTGAATTTGCGATTTCCAACGTGTTATGTAATGTTTATGTCCACTGGCCGATGAGCACCGACACGTTTTATCTATAATTTCTCTTCATTATTTATCTTCATATGACAAAGATTAAAAAGGATTTGCCAGTAGATTGTCGACCTGATTCATGATGATGACTGCTAGTTAAGATTTTGAATGTATGATGTTGTTGTGTAATGTTTATGTCCAGTGGCGACCCATCATTCAGGGCAGGTGGGGCAAAATAAAATCAATAAAAAACTGGTTGTTGTTTTTTTGGGTCTTGCCTGTTTTGCATGTTATATTGGCATTAATATGTGTCACATATCAGTTTGCAAACAATGTTTAAAGAAAATACAGTACCAGTCAAAAGTTTGGACACACCTACTCATTCCAGGGTTTTTCCTTATTTTTACTATTTTCTACATTGTAGAATAATAGTGAAGACATCAAAACTATGACATAACACATATGGGATCATGTAGTAACCAAAAAATTGTTAAAAAAATCAAAATATATTTTATATTTGAGATTCTTCAAAGTAGCCACACTTTGCCTTGATGACAGCTTTGCACCCTCTTGGCATTCTCTCAACCAGCTTCATGAGGTAGTCACTCTGGATAAGAGCGTCTGCTAAATTACTAAAATGTAAAAATGTGTGCCTTGTTAAAAGTTAATTTGTGGAATTTCTTTCCTTCTTAATGCGTTTGAGCCAATCAGTTGTGTTGTGACAAGGTAGGGGTGGTATACAGAAGATAGCCCTATTTGGTAAAAGACCAAGTCCATATTATGGCAAGAACAGCTCAAATAAGTAAAGAGAAACGACAGTCCATCATTACTTTAAGACATGAAGGTCAGTCAATCCGGAACATTTCAAGAACTTTGAAAGTTTCTTCAAGTGCAGTCGCAAAAACCATCAAGCGCTATGATGAAACTGCCTCTCATGAGGACCGCCACAGGAAAGGAAGACCCAGAGTTACCTCTGCTGCAGAGGATAAGTTCATTAGAGTTAACTGCACCTCAGATTGCAGCCCAAATAAATGTTTCACAGAGTTCAAGTAACAGACACATCTCAGCATCAACTGTTCAGAAGAGATTGCATGAATCAGGCCTTCATGGTCGAATTGCTGCAAATAAACCACTACTAAAGGACACCAATAAGAAGAAGATACTTTCTTGGGCCAAGAAACATGAGCAATGGACATTAGACCGGTGGGAAATCTGTCCTTTGGTCTGATGAGATCAAATTTGAGATTTTTGGTTCCAACTGCTGTGTCTTTGTGAGACGCGGAGTAGGTGAACGGATGATCTCTACATGTGTGGTTTCCACCATGAAGCATGGAGGAGGAGGTGTGATGGTGTGGGGGTGCTTTGCTGGTGACACTGTCAGTGATTTATTTAGAATTCAAGGCACACTTAACCAGCATGGCAACCACAGCATTCTGCAGCGATACGCCATCCCATCTGGTTTGCGCTTAGTGGGACTATCATTTGTTTTTCAACAGGACAATGACCCAAAACTCACCTCCAGGCTGTGTAAGGGCTATTTGACCAAGAAGGAGAGTGATGGAGGGCTACATCAGATGACCTGGCCTCCACAATCACCCGACCTCAACCCAATTGAGATGAGATGGTTTGGGATGAGTTGGACCGCAGAGTGAAGGAAAAGCAGTCAACAAGTGCTCAGCATATGTGGGAACTCCTTCAAGACTGTTGGAAAAGCATTCCTCATGAAGCTGGTTGAGAGAATGCCAAGAATGTGCAAAGCTGTCATCATGGCTACTTTGAAGAATCTCAAATATAAAATATATTTTGATTTGTTTAACACTTGTTTGGTTACTACATGATTCCATATGTGTTATTTCATAGTTTTGATGTCTTCACTATTATTCTACAATGTAGAAAATAGTAAAAAATAAAGAAAAACCCTTGAATGAGTAGGTGTGTCCAAACTTTTGACTGGTACTGTATATCATTGAGTTAATAAAGCTGCATACAAACATGGTCTCTTTTTTGTTCTCTTGAGTAAGGCAGCTCCAAAATGCAGGTGTTTCAGCCTAGCTCAGTGCTTTCTGTGGTGGTGGGGCAAGCCAGCAGAAAAGGGCGGCAGGTAGCTTAGTGGGTAAGAGCTTTGTGCCAGTAACCGAAAGGTCGCTGGTTCTAATCCCCGAGCCGACTAGGTGAAAAATCTGTCGATGTGCCCTTGAGCAAGGCACTTAACCCTAATTGCTCCTGTAAGTCGCTCTGGATAAGAGCGTCTGCTAAATGACTAAAATGTAAATGTAAATGTAAAAATATGGAGTGTTGCGCCGTGATTGGCTCAGTGTTCTGTCACTCATGGGGACACTACATCACCACCGGGTCTAAGGGTAGAGCTAGAAAATTCAAGCCCCTTGGGTGCTGCCATAGAGTTACATTAGAAGTGCCCATCCAAGAAGGCTCAAGGTCATTGGCCACAAATAAAATGACGTCAAATCACATTATATCTACAGTAGCTTTGATTGGACTGATCATGTCAACATCATACTTTCAAAATCTTAGCTAGCAGTCATCACCATGAATCAAGTCGACAATCTACTGGCAAATCCTTTTTAATCCTTGTCACATGAAGATAAATAATGACGATAAATGATAGATAAAACGTATCGGTGCTCATCAGCTATTGGACATAAACATTACACAACATGTTGGAAATCGCAAATTCAACAATGAGTGATTTGGAAGGATCAGTGGCTAACTGCAAGCATTGCAAAGCAATCATTAGCCTGCTATTCAGTTGAGTGGCTGTGTGGTCCCAAGTCTAAGATTAAGGGTCTCTTTTCCTAGTTTAAAATGATAAACATTCAACATTGGCCATGCTGTCAATGAAGCATGATTTGTGCCAAGCTCAAAACAACTGTTAACTCTCGGACTTTAGTGAGTTCAAGACAACTGGGTACTCCTGAGTGGCGCAGTGGTCTAAGGCAGTGCTAACTGTGCCACTAGAGATCCTGGTTCGAATCCAGGCTCTGTCGCAGCCGGCCGTGACCGGGAGACTCATGGGCGGCGCACAATTGGCCCAGCGTCGTCCAGGGTAGGGGAGGGAATGGCCGGCAGGGATGTAGCTCAGTTGATAGAGCATGGCGTTTGCAACGCCAGGGTTGTGGGTTCGATTCCCACAGGGGGCCAGTATAAAAAAATAAATATGTATTCACTAACTGTAAGTCGCTCTGGATAAGAGCGTCTGCTAAATGACTAAAATGTAAACTGGGAACTCGGGAAAAACGAGCTACGACTGGGAAAATACGTTTTTAACTTTCATCCAACTCGGAATTGTAAATTCGGAACTCGGGTCTCTTTCTAGAGCTACGACCTGAAGATCACTGACGTCATCATGATTCAACCCCCCCCCCCCAAGTTCCCAGTTGTCTTGAAAGCACCATACATCCAGAGAATGCCAGACTTTGATGACAAAGTTTGATGACAAAACTTGCCCACGTAGGATCACCGTGCCACCTTCCTGTTCAAGTGAGCACAGCACAACAAGGTGAGTCGAAAAATGTCTTGCATGCTGCTGCATTAATGATGTAATATGCCAGGGAGATATGTATACTGCAGCTAAAAAAGTAATACTAAGTGTATGTTGTGTAGTAAGCTGTTAGTAGCCCATGTGCCTCACCCTAATAATTTGGTCTATTTTCACCTCTTAATTTAGGCTACTGTTCTGACTTGGTGGTGCACATTTAGCCTAAAACCCCTATGGTCCGTATTTTCCGCTGGCTGCCCCACCACCACAGAAAGCACTGAGCTAGGCTGAAACGCCTGCATTTTGGAGTTGCCTTACTCAAGAAAGCAACAAAGAGACCAAGTTTGTATGTGGCTTTATTAACTCATATATGTTGTTGTTTTTTTTACATTGTTTGCAAACTGATATGTGACATGTATTAATGCCAAAATAACATGCAAAACAGGTGTGGCTCAAAACGAGCCCCATCTGCCCTGAATGATGGGTCGCCACTGGCTAGTTCACATGTGCACAGGTTCAAAAGGTATGATTTATAACGGGAAACATGGGTATGTATGGCGTGCGCCAAGTTTATATATCTCAATATTTTTGTGACTGCGCAGTCTTTGCAGAAATAGCGCATGCAGATATTTACTGTAAAATGTACACGGTGGTTATAAATGAGGAACCTGCTGTGCTGATCTCTGCAACGTGTATAATGGAAATCGCCACATAATGCTACAAATGAAGAAACATATGTTCTACTATCTCAACATTTTGAGTTAGTATCTCTAAAATTTGACCGAAGTTTCTCGAAATGTCTACTTAGTGAACATTGTACTTACATATCTCGACATTGTGATAGTACCGACATTTTACATTTTTGTATCGACATTTTACATTTTGGGGGTGTTCGGAAATGGGCTTCCATAGCCTCCTGATTAGTTTTCCCATGATGCAATGCGTATCTGTCATGGCTGCGCACTGTTGCCACTCACTGCACATGTGTTGAAATAAACAAATGTATACCATTCAATTGAAATAGGCTACATTACAGCAGTAAGGTTATATATTGTCAATTTACAATTACGCCGATCCTGGTTGGAAACAGTATTGACTTCATTGTACGACTGTTGCAAATCACATTTTGAGATGGTGCGGGAGACTGAGATTCCTGTGCTCCGAGGTTTTCTGAAACCAAGCGAGGCAACGGAATGGAAGCAGAATGTTTTCAGCTCTGCAGGTGAGAGATTATTAATCATTTTTTCGAAAAGCAGTATTGTTATCATACTTTACATTTATTTTGGTGTAGATTTAGCAAAGTTTGTGTTTTGTGAGAATTGTAGGTACAATTAAACGATGGCTAGCTTGGTGGTGGCTAATAACGTTACCTTCAGCTAACGTTCGGTAACTACAGCTAATATAATGTGGAGACATATGGCACACAGTTATCGCCACTGTCCGTCGGTTTGTCAGTGGTTTGATGTCATTTGATGAATGTGGAATGTTTCACCAAGGTTCAATATTAAGGCTACGTGATATGATTAATTGAACTAGCCAGTTCGTTAAAATACAGGTTTGAATGCTTGCTAGTTAGCTACTGTACCAAGCAAATTAGCTGTGAACTTGTGGGAGAGACAGCCTAGCTAAAACACTGTAGCCGAGAGAACGGAGTAGCGCACTACTAGCTACAAAGGCTAGACCGGGCAGTGAATTTAGGCACATGTTCATCTAATTGACTGGGTATTCATCTCATACTCTAACTTTTAAATTTAGAATATAACGTCACAGATAGTTAGGTACCAGCTAACTATGTCACCAATAATATACAGGTATCTACTTAGCGAGCTAGCTATGTACCGACTCCCACCAGGAGCGTATTCCATTACGCCAATTCTTTTGCAAAACGTTTCGTAAACAAACGAAACGGGGAGGGACCTACCTGAACATTCAATTTTGCGACTGTTTGGACTTATTACATTCCAACCCATGGTGACGCATCCCCCCGTGAGGATGCAAATGTCCAAAATATATACGGTAGATAGTTTTGTTTAGCTAGTTCAACTAACCGGTAGCTTTGATCTCCGTAATGTGTTCGTTCTCGCTACACTAGAGGCAGCAATAGTGAGTTAATTGCTGTCAGGTTCTTTCGCTGAACACTGTCAATTTTCTGCATTGAGGCTGTGGCCACGCACGTTTATGACAGCACAGTGGGGCGAAGCATCCCATCCCCCATGAAAGAACGTAAGACCCTATGGACAATCACCATGCACGGCCGCTATTTTCTATATGCTCGGCTATTTTCTTGACATTTATGCTCATCTGTGCTAAATCCGAGGTCACTGGCTTTGCACAATAATCAGCCATGTCATCATATAAATCTCGCCCATCATCCAGGCACTGATGGCGCAGTAAGGTTAGCTTTACCAAGTGATGTAGCTATGTAATGGTTGTCTGGGCTGGTTTTATGTGCTGTTGTCAGAATAGACATGACATGCTCTATGTTGGTCTCCATTTGGATTTAGCAAACTAGGCTATGCTTTTGAGACATCACCCATCAACAAAACACATATAATCTCTGCAATTTCTGACATCAGATTGGATTGAAATAATGTATTGTAAATGTGATGTTGGTCTGCTTTCCACTACACTGCAAGTATATATTTTTTATCCAGCAAGTCTACACTGATGACATACAAATAAATGTACACTGAACAAAAATATAAACGCAACTATTTCAAAGATTTTACTGAGTTACAGTCATATTAGGAAATCAGTCAATTTAAATACATTAATTAGGCCCTAATCTATGGATTTCACATGACTGGGAATACAGATATGCATCTGTTGGTCACAGATACTTTTGGTCATGTAGTGTATGCGGATACCTGCTTGTCGAACATCTCATTCCAAAATCATGGGCATTAATATGGAGTTGGTCCCCCCTTTGCTGCTATAACAGCCTCCACTCTTCTGGGTAGGCTTTCCACTAGATGTTGGAACATTGCTGTGGGGACTTGCTTCCATTCAGCCACGAGCATTAGTGAGGTCAGACACAGATGTTGGGCGATTAGGGCTGGCTCGCAGTCTGCGTTCCAATTAATCCCAAAGGTGTTCGATGGGGTTGAGGTCAGGGCTCTGTGCAGGCCAGTCAAATCAAATCACATTTTTTTGGTCACATACACATATTTTGCAGATGTTATTGTGGGTGTAGCGAAATGCTTGTTTTCCTAGCTCCAACAGTGCAGTAGTATCTAACAATTCACAACAATACACATAAATCTAAAAGTATAAGAATGGAATTAAGAAATATATAAATATTAGGACGAGCAATGTTGGAGTGGCATTGACTAAAATACAGAATAGAATACAGTATATACATATGAAATGAGTAAAGCAGTATGTAAAGATTATTCAAGTGACTTGTGTTCCATTTATTAAAGTAACCAGTGATTCCATGTCTATGTATATAGGGCAGCAGCCTCTAAGGTTCAGGGTTGAATAACCGGGTGGTACCCGGCTAGTGATGGCTATTTAACAGTCTGATGGCCTTGAGATAGAAGCTGTTTTTCAGTCTCTCGGTCCCAGCTTTGATGCACCTGTACTGACCTCGCCTTCTGGATGGTAGCGGGGTGAACAAGCCGTAGCTCGGGTGATTGATGTCCTTGATTATCCTTTTGGCCTTCCTGTGACATTGGGTGCTATAGGTGTCCTGGAGGGCAGGCAGTGTGCCCCCGTTGATGCGTTGGGCAGACAGCACAGCACCACCCTCTGGAGAGCTTCTCCGCTGTGGTCCCGTCGATGTGGATAGGGGCGTGATCCCTCTGCTGTTCCCTGAAGTCCACGATCAGCTCCTTCATTTTGTTGACGTTGAGGGAGAGGTTATTTTCCTGCACCACTCCGCCAGGGCCCTCACCTCCACCCTGTAGGCTGTCTCGTCATTGTTGGTAATCAGGCCTACTATTGTTGTGTCGTCTGCAAACTTGATGATTGAGTTGGAGGCATGCGTGGCCACGCAGTCATGGGTGAACAGGGAGTACAGGAGGGGGCTGAGCATGTACCCTTGTGGGGCCCCTGTGTTGAGGATCAGCGAAGTGGAGGTGTTGTTTCCTACCTTCACCAGCATACAATGAAATCAAGTTCTTCCACACGATCTCGACAAACCATTTTCTGTATGGACCTTGCTTTGTGCACTGGGGTATTGTCATACAGAAACAGGAAAGGGCCTTCTCCAAACTGTTGCCACAAAGATGGAAGCACAGAGTCGTCTAGAATGCCATTGTATGCTGTAGCGTTAAGATTTCCGTTCACTGGAACTAAGGAGCCTGAACCATGAAAAACAGCCCCAGACCATTATTCCTCCTTCACCAAACTTTACAGTTGGCACTATGCATTGGGGCAGGTAGTGTTCTTCTGGCATCCGCCAAACCCAGATTTATCAGTCGGATTCCAGATGGTGAAGCATGATTTATCCCTCCAGAGAACGCGTTTCCACTGCTCCATAGTCCAATGGCGGTGAGATTTACACCACTCCAGCCGACGCTTGACATTGCACATGGTGATCTTAGGCTTGTGTGCGGCTGCTCGGCCATGGAAACCCACTTCATGAACCTCCCGACGAACAGTTATTGTGCTGACGTTGCTTCTAGAGGCAGTTTGGAACTCTGTAGTGAGTGTTACAATCGAGGACAGACGATTTGTATGCGCTTCAGCACTCGGCGGTCCCGTTCTGTGAGCTTGTGTGGCCTACCACTTCGCGGCTGAGCCGTTGTTGCTCCTAGACGTTCCACTCACAGTAACAGCACTTACAGTTGACCGGTTCAGCTCTAGCAGGGCAGAAATTTGACGAACTGACTTTTGGAAAGGTGGCATCCTATGACAGTGCCACTTTGAAAGTCACTGAGCACTTCAGTAAGGCCATTCTACTGCCAATGTTTGTCTATGGAGATTGCATGTCTGTGTGCTCGATTTTATACACCTGTCAGCAACGGGTGTGGCTGAAATAGCCAAAGCCACTAATTTTGGGGTGTCCACATACTTTTGTATATATAATGTACCTTAACCCCACTGCCTCCATGGGGCACTCTGTTCACAACGTTGACATCAGCAAACCACTCGCCCACATGACGCCAGACATGCTGTCTGCCATCTGCCTGGTACAGTTGGAACCGGGATTCATCTGTGACGAGCACACTTCTCTAGCGTGCCAGTGGCCATCGAAGGTGAGCATTTGCCCACTGAAGTATTTTACAACGCCGAACTACACGCAGGTCACAAGACCCTGGTGAAGATGACGAGCACGCAGATGAGCTTCCCTGAGACAGTTTGTGCAGAAATTCTTCAGTTGTGCAAACCCACAGTTTCATCAGCTGTCTGGGTGGCTGGAATGCCACACCTTGATATGCTACACCTGTCAGGTGGATGGATCATCTTGGCAAAGTAGAAATGCTCACTAACATGGATGTAAACAAATTTGTGCCCAACATTTGAGAGAGATAAGCTTTTTGTGTTTATAGAACATTTCTGGGATCTTTTATTTCAGCTCATGAGACATGAGACCAACACTTTACATGTTCCGTTTATATTTTTGTTCAGTGTAGTTAGTTCCCTCCCTGTTCCTATACGTGCCCTTGTAGGAGATATGAGGCTGTTGCACTGACTATTCTGAAATCTACACTAATGTATTAAATATTGCTTGAATATTGAGGCCCAGGGCAATTCAGAATCATATTTCTCCCATATTGAATTGCCTTACATCGACTGCTCAATGTGAGGACCTTTATGAATTACTGACTGATTTGAGGTCCAATTGTTTTCCATAATTTCAGTTTCTTGACAAATCTGAAATAGATTTGAATTGCTGAAATGTTATTAAGTGGTTGAGAGGTCATACCCTGGGGTTTAATTTGATCTCATCTCCCTTTCTCCTCCTCTCACCCTCCCTCCCTCCCTCTCTCGGCTCTGCTGCCTCTGGGTTTCATTAGATCTGCAGTGAGGTGAAATATCTCCATACCTCACAGGCCAGTCAAGCAGCAATTGCCTATTAAAGCTTTAAAGGTAGACTCAGCAATTTGACATACAGTGGGGAAAAAAAGTATTTAGTCAGCCACCAATTGTGCAAGTTCTCCCACTTAAAAAGATGAGAGAGGCCTGTAATTTTCATCATAGGTACACGTCAACTATGACAGACAAATTGAGAAAAAAAATTCCAGAAAATCACATTGTAGGATTTTTTATTAATTTATTTGCAAATTATGGTGGAAAATAAGTATTTGGTCACCTACAAACAAGCAAGATTTCTGGCTCTCACAGACCTGTAACTTTTTCTTTAAGAGGCTCCTCTGTCCTCCACTCGTTACCTGTATTAATGGCACCTGTTTGAACTTGTTATCAGTATAAAAGACACCTGTCCACAACCTCAAACAGTCACACTCCAAACTCCACTATGGCCAAGACCAAAGAGCTGTCAAAGGACACCAGAAACAAAATTGTAGACCTGCACCAGGCTGGGAAGACTGAATCTGCAATAGGTAAGCAGCTTGGTTTGAAGAAATCAACTGTGGGAGCAATTATTAGGAAATGGAAGACATACAAGACCACTGATAATCTCCCTCGATCTGGGGCTCCACGCAAGATCTCACCCCGTGGGGTCAAAATGATCACAAGAATGGTGAGCAAAAATCCCAGAACCACACGGGGGGACCTAGTGAATGACCTGCAGAGAGCTGGGACCAAAGTAACAAAGCCTACCATCAGTAACACACTACGCCGCCAGGGACTCAAATCCTGCAGTGCCAGACGTGTCCCCCTGCTTAAGCCAGTACATGTCCAGGCCCATCTGAAGTTTGCTAAAATGCATTTGGATGATCCAGAAGAGGATTGGGAGAATGTCAGATGAAACCAAAATATAACTTTTTGGTAAAAACTCAACTCGTCGTGTTTGGAGGACAAAGAATGCTGAGTTGCATCCAAAGAACACCATACCTACTGTGAAGCATGGGGGTGGAAACATCATGCTTTGGAGCTGTTTTTCTGCAAAGGGACCAGGATGACTGATCCGTGTAAAGGAAAGAATGAATAGGGCCATGTATCGTGAGATTTTGAGTGAAAACCTCCTTCCATCAGCAAGGGCATTGAAGATGAAACGTGGCTGGGTCTTTCAGCATGACAATGATCCCAAACACACCGCCCGGGCAACGAAGGAGTGGCTTCGTAAGAAGCATTTCAAGGTCCTGGAGTGGCCTAGCCAGTCTCCAGATCTCAACCCCATAGAAAATCTTTGGAGGGAGTTGAAAGTCTGTGTTGCCCAGCGACAGCCCCAAAACATCACTGCTCTAGAGGAGATCTGCATGGAGGAATGGGCCAAAATACCAGCAACAGTGTGTGAAAACCTTGTGAAGACTTACAGAAAACGTTTGACCTGTGTCATTGCCAACAAAGGGTATATAACAAAGTATTGAGAAACTTTTGTTATTGACCAAATACTTATTTTCCACCATAATTTGCAAATAAATTCATTAAAAATCCTACAATGTGATTTTTCTGGATTTTTTTTCTCATTTTGTCTGTCATAGTTGACGTGTACCTATGATGAAAATTACAGGCCTCTCTCATCTTTTTAAGTGGGAGAACTTGCACAATTGGTGGCTGACTAAATACTTTTTTTCCCCACTGTAGATGCAGAAAGTGAACAGCATAGTGGGTCAATTTCCGCATCAACTAAGATGGTTGAAGCACGAGGCTCAACTTCTCCGCTGTTTTGGTGCCCTGGCTAACACGTTGCGAAGTGAACCTAGGCACGTGCAGATGCTATGTGTGACTGAGAGCGAAGTCTTGCATCTCGCTTCTAATAATATCTGTGGTGCTGCTCGTGGCAACGGCATTTAGCGGAGTCTACCTTCAATGTCAATTGTCAAAAACGCATCAACTCCGATTATTCTAATTTTCACATTGTAGCTTAGACCCTATTTTACATAATCAGAAGTGTTTGTGTTGTGCCCATCATTGGTTGAGACACAGCATGCTCTTGAATACAAGGTGGGTGTCATTTCAATCATAGAAATATAATTCATAGAATGGACCTATCCTTTCAGACCCCTGCAATTCAGCTGGTACACCATTGACATTAAATGGAAATTAAACTTTAACTTCCAATTACTACCAGAAAGATGGCTGGTCCACCCACCGTTGATTGTAACTTCAATGGGAATATCTATTCTATGATCTATATTTCTATGAATGCAATAGGTTTTCAATGAAAGATTGAAAGTTTAATTTATAACAATGGATATTCCGACTCGAGTCAACATTCTCTGTGTGGACCTTCAACCATCTTTGTCGTACCATTTGAAAGTTGAAATGTCAACTTTATTCACATTTTAGTACATTTATCAGCCAAAACATGAGATCCACCCTGTATTCAATAGTATTCTGTCACATACCATCTATCATTTTTTGTGATAAAAAAAAAAAAATGTTGACTCCAATGCTTCCCACAGTTGTCAAGTTGGCTGGATATCTTTTGGGTGTTGGACCATTCTTGATACACATGGGAAACAGTTGAGCTTGAAAAACCCAACTAAATATTTTGTCTTGCCCATTCACGCTCTGAATGGCACACACACAATCCATGTCTCAAGGCTTAAAAATCCTTCTTTAACCTGTCTCCTCCCTTTCATCTTCATTGATTTGAAGTGGATTTAACGAGTGACATCAATAAGGGATCATAGCTTTCACCTGGTCAGTCTGTCATGGAAAGAGCAGGTGTTCTTAATGTTTTGTATACTCAGTATATGTGAACATGAAAAAATCATTTTAGGTGTTTTTTGATAATTGACGTTAAAGCTTAGAAAATGACATTTTTTCCCAATACATTATACGTTTTACAACCCTCTTGTAAGCTTTGAAATGATATCAAACTCAACCGTTTATCTTTTTCCGGGATGAAGACATGGATGTCTCATGGTAGGGTGGGGATATGCAAAATGGGCCAACTTTGAGCACCTCCATCTCCTGAATGTTTTGGCATTCAGTTCCAAAACGTCACTTTCTGACCACTTCTTCCATGGGCAAACATATATGGAAGGATTCATTCAATTCAAAAGTGGTGCAGTCAGAAAGTGATTGAAATCATGTGGAACGACCCTGCAGCTTTATCAGTGAAAGCATTGGCTTTGGTGTACTGTGGGTGTGTCCCAATCTATTTTCTCCCGAAGTGTGCAATTGTTCACTTCCTTTCATGGATTTGAAAGGAAATGACTGGTTTATGGAAACTCCCTCTAGCCCATGCCTACACCATTCCAATGCTTTTACATTTGTGGGGACTAGAGATTATTGGGACGCACCCTGTGTCTGTTTGCCAGTTTGCGGGGCCGTTTTAGTTTGCTCAGGTTTTCTGCTGCTGTATACCCAGCCTCTCATCTTTCCCATTGCTCTCTCTCTCTGTCCTCACTCACTCCCATCAGGGGAGCACAATGCAATCAATGCTAATGAGCCCAGCCAGCCTCCCTGCTCAAATAAAGAACTAATGAAAGCTGGAGAGACGCTGAAGCCGAGCACACAACCAATGCATAAAATACAATTACACCAGGCCGAGACACCTTGGCCTCATAGCTAGACTGTTCTCTTTATAATTCCTCCCCCTTCAGCAATGCCCCTCCAACAGCCAAAAGCCTGCGCACACACACCAAATGATCTTCTGCAGGGCATTGTTCAATATGCTCATCTTCCTAATGAGAATAAGGAGTTAAATTAATAATCTGTGAGAAACAATATAAGACAAATGAGAGTGGGTATGTTGTGGAGGTAATAGGGCCTTGGAGTGAGGTAGAGCGTATGGTCCAGCGGGATGCTTGATTTTCTCCATTCCTGGATGGTAATGGTTCTGGGACAACAATAACGAGATGGTTCGGCTGTAATACTTTGACTCTAAACAAGTAGCCTTTTTAAGGTAATTTGAATTGGATATAGAGGTATCTGAGGGATAATGATCCATCTATTTCAAACAATGAGGCTGCACCCAAATATACCTTTCAAAGCTAATGGGCGTTCCACAGAGAAATATGAGACTACGCCAGGCAGACAAAGGAAAAACCATGGACAGACAATAGCAAAATTGTGGTGGCGTCAGAAGAACTAAAGACTTTCTTATACATAGCCTGTCATATGTATTGAGCCACCCATTATTACAGATACACAAGACACATCTCTGACGATGTCATTGGCAGCTTCTTGTGTTGCCCCTTTATCTCACTGCTTCTACTTTTTTGCCTGCCAGAGGCGGGTCCCCTGCTGCAGTCCCTGTTCGATGGGGACTTTGAGGCGGTGCTGCTAAGTCCTCAGGTCCTGGACCTGCTCGGTGGTGGAGACAGCGGCGATGGAGAGGCCATCGATGCCTACCTGGAGAGACGGGTCCTGGCCTACCTCAACGACAGCACACAGGAGGACAAGGCTGACCGGTAAGAAACAAACTGAGTAAGGATCTCATGCTGACACCTTATTCAATGTTAATCAATTCATTGAATCAAGTGTTTTAGTGTTGGGCTGGAACAAAAGCATGCATACTCTGTAGCTCTCCAGGGCCAAAGTTAGTGACCACTGCGTTAGTCTTTATTATAAACAAGGCTAAACAAGATGTAATATTCTTTCATATAAGCTGACAGATTGCCTTTTTAAGTGTACAGCACTATGAATGAATACAATTATCTTACTGTAATAGAGAAGTTAACCTTTCTAATGATAATGATAACCTTATTATGTCTCAACTCCTCAAATTACACACAGAGCAGACACTACTGAAACAGGAGTATCAATTAATATTGATTCTGGTAAATGAATGCTCAGTTTGTTGCGCGCAGCATTGTGGTACCACGTTCCACATTTTAGCCAATTACTTTTATATTAGCTGTCTAGTCTGTGTTTTATAAATGTGCATTTAGCATAAAACACAATTATAGGAATTGTAACTCGTTCTCATTCTGAGAAATAAGGTAGGCCACTTGATTTCAACATTTGAACAAAGTGGACAGGCTAGCAAGCTGTTTAAACAGTTGGAGATGGACAGAAGGGTGTGTTCATAACAATATCATTTCACAACCCCTGAATTCATTAGATTATTGCTGACTGTTTGAAATGCAGTGTATTTGATTTTTAATTGCACAACAAAGCTTATTTAGAGAACATTTGAAAAAATCTAGATATATATTGGATCATGAATCGCCCATAAGTCAGATTTTTCTGTGGTGATTTGTAGGACATAATGCTCAGGCCTAGTACACAGTGACCTTTATTGATTGGAGGGAGAATTACCAGGCACAGGCTGTTCCCTCGCTGAACGGAGCTTCCTGCTGCCCTTGAATTATTAATTTTTAATAAGAACAGCTTAACATCTCCTCCTTCTCTCCCGTGGAGATATCTGTGGGAGAATGGGTATTTCAGCTGGTGTCGCTACTCTATCCCCCTCTGTATCGGATCATTTCTCTCAATCTCTTTCCATTTTCTGCTACAGCGTTAGTCAGCTAGGTGTGTTGGAGAGGCCTGTATGTATGCATAGCTTTAATTGCTCTAAGGGAGATGGGAAGCAGTTCCTCTTTGCCCTGAATCTGTGCCTGGACAGCCCAGACGCCCTATTGAATGAGTCCTGCTGCGAGGACTGGAGCAGCCCGCTGTATCCGCTTCGGAAGGCTGCCGGCCTGATTCGCAGTGTGGAGATTAAATGACCATGTCTTTACTGTTTCATTCTCTCTCCATCTCTGTACTGAGCTTGTGCTTGCTCTTTTGGGAAGCCTCCTTTTAATGTTTCTTTCTCTGAACTCCCTTTCATTTGTTCTCTAGCCTTTCTGTTGCTCCTCCTCTCTGTTTTGTTCCCTGTTTTCGTGTTTCTCTAGTGTCTAATAGTTCTGGGTTCTATACCTTCCCTCTGGTCTCCATCATTGTTCTTTCTCTCTGTCCTCCAGACTCTGTTCTCTCATTTATTTTCCCTCACTGCTCTCTCTCCTATTCATTGTGACATTGCTTTCTTTTTCCTTTCTTCTTTTTCTCAGGGAGAATGCTCTGTTGGCCCTGGCGGCGGCCTGCCTGCACCTCTTTGCCCAGAGTAACTGGACGGGTCCCCCTGTCGCCATCCATGTCCCTGACCTGCTTCCCCCGGCCCTGCTCACCTCCCTCACTGAGGTACACTAACAGCAGGGTTTTTTTACGGAAATGTGGCGCCGGACAACATGACATGGAAGATTTTAATTTACCAGCCATTTGAGCTATTATTGAGTTGCAGCTTCAGTGAAAAGCATCTCAAATGTTAAATTTTTGTTATTTAGCAGACGTTCTTATCCAGAGCGACTTACGGTTAGTGCATTCATCTTAAAATGCCTAGGTGGGACAACCACAGGCATAGAAAGTACATTTGTCCTCAGTAACATAGGTTTCAGTAGAGTCAGAGCTAAAAGGGGGGGTGGAGTGGGGGGGTCGAGGTGAGGAGGAGGATTATTTAAGATACCGTTTTGAAGAGGTAGGGTTTCAGATGTTTTCGGAAGATGGGCAGGGACTCTGCTGTCCTAGCTTCAGGGGGAAGCTGGTTCTACCATTGGGGTGCCAGGACAGAGAAGAGCTTGGACTGAGCTGAGCGAGAGCTCCAAAAATGTGAAGATAATGTGTCTTGAGTATAATTTTAAATGTTTAGACGAGAAGAAGGGGAGGGGTGTGGCGACGATATAGGCGAGTCTCTCTCCAGAATGGCTCAGCTGTCTCCCGCTAATTCTTGCGCTTTCATTGTGTGAATAGTTTGCCCTTTGATTTTTTTTCATCAATTCCCCATTACATATGTCACCAGTAGTACATGTACCGTTAATCCCCGTCATTTGTTAACATTAATTTATGTTAATGCGTGTGTTAATTACACTCATTTGCCATTCTCGGAGTGGAAACAATGTTTGCTGAGTTCACAACCTGCTACACTTGCAAGAAGCAAGTTTTGGTTTATTTCATAACCATCATTTACGAGATTGTCAATTTTTTCATTGTCTTTTGTTTGGAGTGCTCCATGTGAACAATGTGTCTGTTTTCTCTGTCCTGATGTTGAGTACCTGGGCTGCTCCTCAGAAATGTGGGAAAGTGTTTTTTTAACATCCATTGCGAATGATAATATATTAAAACTATAGTTCTTCACAGTAAGCTATTTGAAGAAAAAAATCCAACAATCTCCCCCTCGATAATCAGAAATCCACGGTGTGAAAGAGCAATGGAAGTTTTAGGCCTACTGCTGCATTGGCCTGTAGGCTAAAACGTCCATTCGCTCATTTCTTTAGCCGCCAATGGATCACTGGTGTATCAATATGTCTTTATGGCAGAGGTTGGTGAGCTCGCATTAGTTGACTTAACTTTTAGATTTTTATTATTTTTATTCCGATTTTTTTGACAATGATTTTGAGAAAATAAAACATTATTATTGAAGTTATACTGTTCCACCAAAATGTGCAGAACGGTAGAAATTGTAGCATAAATTGTAAGCTTCCCCAAACTTGAAAACGTTCCGCCAATGTCTTTATAAAATAATTGCTTCCATGTTTCCATGGTCGAATTTTGCCTATAGGCTACTTTGAGACATGCCTCATAATGTGAAATCATACATTCAGGTTTCAAACAATTATGTTTTCAAAATGCATACTGCCTCCAGCTCACATTGTAAAGCGATGGGTGACGTGCTGATAGCCTGTTGCCTGCACTTGAATGAATGAGTGAATAGGAGGTGCGTTTCAATTACCAGTTGAGTAATAAAAAACCGTAACCTTTTTAATCCTGCACCAAAACTGTTTTTAGCATGCGATTGCATTTAGAATTGTTGCGCAATGAATGGGCTTATGAAAGCATGTTTTACTCCAGCAGCAACCAGCTGAGGAGCAGCAGGAGAAATCCCGTTCAAAATAGGCTCTGTATGCTGTGCACATGTGATAGCTGTGTTGGGAAAATAAGATGCATGATGACTAAAGAAAATACACACAGGCCAATTTAATTCCACTAAATTATGCAAATTAACCTATAGACTGATGAGCATGACAGTCAACTGTATTTACATCGACTGGTATTTCCATCAATGAATAAAAAGCATTATTTTGCAATGGGATTTTTTTCCTCCCGGTCATTTTTGCCGGCATCAGTTTTTTTTATATCGGCTTTTATTTATTTTTATCGGCACTTGCCGACTAACAGACACCCTGAGTAACATATCCTTTTCTCTCCTTAAACTACACGCACACACTGCTTTTTAAAATGTATCCACAGCCACCCTCCCTCCCCAGGCCTGACCTACAGGAGCTCGACCTTTTAGACCATTTTATTTCCCTGAGAAGACATTTCCAGCCCATCAGCTGTTTTGGAAGCCGATTTGATTTTGGACGCAAGGATTGTGTGTGTGGCAGCGCTGGGTTGTGACTCTGACATGGTTTGATGAATGGTGAGGACAGATGACCCCTTAAACCCTTTGCTCTGGAAAATGAGGCTGTATAGAGTGAGTCTGTGGAGGGAGGGATGAAGTATTGTTGCACGGTATAACTGGACCACGTTAATAGCACGGTACCAAAATGTCATGACATTTTAGAATACCATAGTACCGTTTCATATGATACTACCATCTTTTTCGGCCCTACCAATCTAAAGAACCAGTTGGCGCCTGTTATAAAATGTTTCTAAAGTCAGTTTTGTTTATAAATTCAGTTTAAAACATTTTAAGCGACAGCAATTAATAGTCTCTTGTATGCACCAGTCCAATAATGTCACTTTCATGCACATCTCACGTGTGGCAGCTGTGATGAGCCAGCCGCATCCCCTTGCAGCCATCACTCACCTGCTTCTCTCCGTCCGCTCTTCCTGCGTCTCTATTCATCAATCCGTTTTTAAAAATATAATTAACCGTGAAGGCGAGTGGGGATGTAGACCCTGATGAGTCTTTTGTTACATTTGTACATTTGATGCATTGAAGCAGCGCGCAGAGTGAGCAATGTTAATACATTGTATAATTTCATTGCTTGGTATAACCAAGAGCACAGGCCAGTCTGAGTAGGCTTTGCAATTGCAAGTGCGGTGTCATGCAGCCTCTGAGTGATAGAGAGGGAGAATGGAGCACACCTTCGTGACAGGCATGCTTGCAGCTTTACAGCAAAGAGAACATGCACATTCTATATAATTTCACAAACCATGTCACGGGCCGTTTTTAAATGTATTAGTTTGATAACAAACAACGTTGTTCAGTCATGTTACCTACCTAGCTAACAACATGTTAACTTGACAGGAGGTCTAGTCAAATTTGATTGACCCAGGAAGGAAGGAAAAGGGTCTGCTACTCATGAGATGTGCTTCAAATGTAGGATTTACGTAGGCCTAATGTAAGCCTAAACTATATCAACAATCTATCTCTTTCTGCTTCTTCTTACATTCTGTTTGGGAGCAGTGTGTGTGTGTATGTGGGAGAGAGATAGTGGTGTGTGTTTTTATGACCGGGAGATAGAGAGAGTGTGTGACTGAGGGAGGGAGAGTGTCTGTGTTAACTGAAGAGTAGGCCTTTCTCCTTAATGCCACAATGACATGCAGATCATTATGCATTTATATTCCTCCCTTTCCTCTAGCCAAATCACAGGTTAGGCCTTTGCAAATATAAGCAAATAAGACATTTTATGCAATATTTTATTATAGTGAACAGTTTGAAGTTAATTCAATATGTGTTGCATTGAGTAGAAGTGTGTATATCAGTGACAGGTTTTTTGCTAAGCACATGCGCAAAACTTTTAGAAAACGGGAACGGGCGCCCAAAATATTTGTTTTTGTCACATGCGCCGAATACAACGGGTGTAGAACTTTACTGTGAAATGCTTACTTACTAGCCCTTCCCAGCGATGCCGAGTAAAAAAAATAAGTATACAAAAAAATACATATGACCCACTACTTTGATTCTGGCCTATGTAGCAACATTTGAAATTGTGTTTTTTTAATACATGGGATGAAAGTAGATTCAGAGCTAGAAAATTGTATATCATACACTGCAGTTGAGGAACAATGGGAAAATAATTCTGCTTTGAAAGTTGATAAACTTGTAACCCCACTTTTGAGAAAATGGCCCTTGAATGTTTTGGTACACCTACTGGAGAGCTCTTTGTCTACACCCATTCAGCATCGTTCACACCCTCTTAAGCCTTAGCCCCACCCATCTCTTTAAGGATCACATGTGAGGCCATGTGCTAAACAGAGTAAGTAAGGTAGTGTAGTAAACAACCAAAGATTTCAAGACTAAAAGTGGTGAAAGTAGTAGCAAAAGGTAGCAGTAAAAATACACTATCTAGTCCTTGGCGTATATCCTAATCTGACTTTGGTGCAGGTCATGTTGTTCTTCACATTACCATCTCTGGTAAACACACACTATATCAAATAAAAATCAACGTTTATTTGTCACATGCACCGGATGCAGAATGTGTAAACGGTACAGTGAAATGGTTACTTGCATAGTGGAGTCTTTTGTTTAGACAAGTAGCTAGCTAGCTAAACATTGAACCATAATCCCAACTCTAATGCCGTGTTCAAAACAACTGGGAACTCTGAAATCTCAGACTGGGGAAAAATAAATTAGAACGGTCATCCAACTCGGAGTTTCCAACTCGGCAACCCAGGCCTAGTTCTAGAGCTCCGACCTGAAGATCACTGACGTCATGATTTGACCTCATATTTTTCAGAGTTCCCAGTTGTTTTGAACGTGGCAATACTACTATGCACCATGCGTGAATCTGCAGGTAGCTAAAGCTAACCAACTAGGTTCAATGTTGGATAGCTAGCTAACATTAGGCTAGAACTAGCAATGTAAATGGATTTCTGAGATAGGAAAAATATTACTACACAGATCATACATTTAACAGTACGCTTTAACTTGCAATGAAAAAGACTTTCTGACAAAATTAGAAACGTATAATATCTGAAAATGTAGCTGGACTCTTACCCGTATACATGGATGACTGCTTCTCCCTCTGTCATGGATGCCATGGTTGCTCTTAGTTTCAAGATGTAATCCGGAGACAGGTGTTTTATTCAACTGCCTTCAGTGTATTCTTTTCGACTTTCTCCGCATTTGGCAATCATCTCTCAGCTTCCACCGGGCATTCCACCGATTTCAAAAGTCGGTCAACTTCTTCTGTGACAACACTGTTGGTCGCCGTTTCTTCCCCATCGCTGTCATCAGAGGACTCTAATGTCTGGTTCATTTAAAATGTTTTTACATAATTCATCGTCTGATTCATTTTCAGTATCAGAGTCAGCATGGCACGGTCGTCCTCCAGAAAGTAGTCAAAAACTACTTTTTCCCCACTGATCTTTGTCCATAGCGCCTGTTAATTTCAGGACAGCAATGTTGAGAGCGGTAGCAACACCTCAGTTCATGATATCTTTTAAAAAAAGCTGCGGAAGAAAGGATTATCTACACATAATGAGCAGCTCTGTATTTACAGATGGCATACAAGTTTGTTATTAAGGCACATGAAAGTTCACATGTTCCAGAAGGCATTTCTGCCAAAAAACGTATTTGGATAATAATATAATATATAATGCCTCTCCTGTGAAGTAGTAAGGTGTGACATACGCCTAGCTTCTTGAAACAGGTCAGAAATGGTAACACGAGGAATAAAATACACAAGAATGCAGCTATATACAGGGAGTACCAGATCAATGTGCAGGGGTATGATGTACATATCTACCTCACGTACATGAAGGCATGGTAAAGTGACTATGCATCAGGATTAATAATAATAAGAGTAAACTACAGAACAGAGTAGGAAGCGAAGGGGATACATAGTCAGTTCCACAACTGAATGCATTTGACTGGAATTTGTCTTCCGCATTTAACCCAATCCCTCTGAATCAGAGAGGTGCGGGGGGCTGCCTTAATCGACATCCACTTCATCGGCACCCGGGGAGCAGTTGTTGTTGGGGGTTAACTGCCTTGCTCAAGCAGCAGCATATGATGAGTGTAAAAGTGTGTGTGCATGTGTGTTTGTGCATATGTAGTGAATGTGTGTAGGTTTTGTGAGAGTGTAGTGTCACATTACACCAGAGGAGACAGTAATTCTGCTGTTGAAGAATTTTCCAGGCTGTGATTAATCTGCCTTGTTGTGTAGAGGACCCTTGTAAATGGAGCTCCTCCATTTATGCATTGTGGCCTGGGAACTAGGGAGATCAACTCAATAAGTGCATGCCTTCACTAATGTGCCACTGCATTTTGTGTCACATAGAATATGTGCATTGATGAGCACATAAAGGAAAATGGCAGAGCCACTATGGCAGAGCCTGGGGACAGGCCACTGCCACGGTCTCAGGGTACAGAGGCTCAGTGAGGCAGAGTAAACGGCTCAAACTTAGGCTTTATTACATAATTTACCAACAGAAATGCTTACAAATATGGAACTTAACCTTTGTTACTGAAGTTATACCTTTTCTTAAACTCAGTCTTTGAGCCCCAACCTGTCAACTGTTGGGGCTGATTGTCCAGCCAATCACGCACTCGATTGACTAATGACCCTCAGCTGGGCTCCATCAGCCTCCCAAGTGGGAAGGTGCCGGGAGGAGCCGGAAAGGCTCTGGAAGGGCACGGCAAGAGGGGTAGAGCTGTCCTCTCGGGCATCACTTCAGGGGACAGGGCAGCAGAGCCACAACAGATCATTGATATTTTCTATACCAGTCTAACTCGCCTCTGTGTCCTCTCTCTCCCTCCCAGCCTGGGACCCTGACCTCAGCCCTGCTCAGCATTCTTCTCCTGGATGGAGAGTCGGTGTACTGCCTGGTGGGGAATCCCTTCCTCCTGCTGCTGGCCAGGGTCCTGCTGGTCAACTGCTCTGCAAATCTGGATAGCCTCCAGGTAAGAGATAACATAGCAGAGATATCACTTTGTATCTGGGCATTAGCTGAAGCTGTGATTGTGAAATGACACTCGTCACGTCCCCATTGTCTCTCCCCAACACAGAAAAATGAGTTGAGAGACAAAGGAAATACAGCAAAGATTCTGGTCAGGGAGACGGATGCATACTTGATTCCTTCAGATGTGCTGTGCTTGATTTGCGTTTCTCCCTCTAAGCCACTGGAACAGGGAGAATCATTGGATGTGGGTGCAGAAACCTATTCCTGCATTTCCATTCCCTGTCCACACACAGACACACACACAGGAATGCTGTGCATTGTCACTCCATTGCCAGCACACTAATACATCTCCAGATGTATTTATTTACCCCTTCCCTTCGTGCTGAAACTTTGGCATCCTGGTATTACAGGGAGATTAGTTCACCGTAGTTATTATTCTTGGAGGAATAAAACAATGGGTCAGGTAGTGAATCATACTCCTAAGGCATGTACACACTTCCCTTCAGCAGCTCAGTCACCTGTAAATATTTTACAGCTGTAATGGCTAAATAGTAGTTGTTTAACTACATATTGGCTGCCTTTTGAGTTTCAGAAGCTCACCTCAGGCTGTTTTAGAGAGTTACTGTTGCCTACAAATTATAACATGCTGAATGAATGTGTGGTTTGATGGTAAGATCTATACTAACTACAAGATCCATTCTAGTGATCATACTATTAAAGTTTGATATGTGACGCGTACACACACACACACACACACACACACACACACACACACACACACGTACCCTCAGAGTTCAGCAGTTGTCTAAATCAAGGGCAAACTGTCCGCTGCCCCCTCCACCCCCCTGTACATTCTTATTATCACCCAGCTTCTCCACCTCTCCCATCCCAGTCATAAAGAGAGGAGGGGAGGGGGCTGCAATGTTCATCTGCATATCACCCTCCTCTGATGAGACGGCAGAGTGTGTGTGCGTCGTGGGAATATTGATTCAGGGAGGCAGACGATTAACGCACCATACGGCGACACGGTCGGGATAGCCGGCCTCGTGCATCGCAAATGAGAAAGGAGATGTCCTCACTGAAACACAAATGGCCTTTTTACATGGTTCACTACCTTTGGCCATGCAAGAGAGAAGGGGGTAAGGGAGAGGGGAGAGGAACCCATACATGGCTTGGAGCTGTTATTTTCCCTGCCACTTTGCGTTTTGGTCAGAGAGCTGAAAAAGAGAGGGAGTTGACTATTTTTTGGGCTGGGTCAGCAGCACTTAACTATAGCATTCATTTTATGTGTGTGTTAGTATGTAGGGTCTAAGTTGGTTGTCATGTGTTCAGTTGGTTCAGGCACTAGTACAGTAGTTATTTATTTAGTTACTATTGTTATTTAGTTACCTGTTACAGTAGTTATTTATCTACTTGTATTATTATTTAGTTACTATAGTTATTTAGTTGCGACCTCATCTATGTATTGGGCCGTTTGTACAAAAGCACTCACTTACTCTCCCATGCTCTCTTTCACTTACCTGTTTGTTGTTCGGCTTACCTGCTCCCACTAACTCCCTTATTTCACACACTTCTCTGGCTAACTTGTTTCTGTTTTCTATGTTCCACATGTGTGCAGCTGCTGCCTTGGTGGACCCTGCGCTACGTGAGCCTACACCAGCAGGTCTTGGAGGAGCGCTCCCCTCAGCTCCTCAGCTTGGCCCAAAGCAGCATAGAGAAAGGTCAGAGGTCAAAACTCACCCACTCACTCACCGAGCAAGACTTACTCATGCACCTTCTTGATGTTTGCCTTGATAGTCATAATTCAATGGAGATGATATAAGAACTTGTGTGGATCACTGTACCACTATAGGGTGCTATGCTACTCAGTACTTTGATCATAGAAGGCATGAAGTAAATGTTTTCGTGGGTTAGAAAGAAATGGGGATTAATCACATGTTGAAATGTGCTTCATTACAATTGAAGTATTGAGCGAATGTAATACTTTTCTGGAGACCGAAAGAAAATGATAAGAATAAGCCAACTACTTTAATTTTTGTGCATGGCAACTAATAGTATCCAAAAGAGCCAACATTATTTCCACAATAATGTTTGGGTTGCACTTGACTGCTTGAAAACAGATGTATTGAATATATACACTGAGTATACAAAACACATTGCTCTTTCCATGACCGACTGACCAGGTGAATCTAGGTGAAAGCTATAATCCCATATGTTAATCTACTTCAGTCAGTGTAGATGAAGGGGAGCAGACAGGTTAAAGAAGGATTTTTAAGCCTGGAGACAATTGAGACATGGATTGTGTATGTGTGCCATTCAGAGGGTGAAAGGGCAAAATAAAATATTTAAGTGCCTTTGCCAGGGGCACCGGTTTGTGTCAAGAACTGCTCAACAGTTTCCTGTGTGTATTAAGAATGATCCACCACCCAAAGGACATCTTGGGGTGGTGGTGCGCAACTCAATATTAGGAAGGTGTTCCTATTGTTTGGTGTACTCTGTGTATATACTCATGCATATTTGCAATCCAGTGTCATATGGCCTTAACCTCTTCTTACTAGGCTAATCTAAACTGCTAGGTGAAAGGTATATGTATCTCACTTTGGCCATCTCCTTCATGTTTGTGTGTGTGTGTGTAGGCAAAGTGTGGCAGGGGATTGATGGGCTCATAATGTCTCGGTTGCTGTGTCGGCAGGCTCAGGCTAAAGTGGACATCGTTCCTCTAAATAGGAGTTTCCTTTCATTTGCAGCGATTGTGTGCTGGGTGGGTGAGGATGGCAGGGTACATTTTCATCTAAAAGGACTTATAGGTGTCCACTTAAGGAAAACGCAGCTGTAAGCACATTCTATTCCCTTTATCTCTGGACCACCACTACACAGGACTCCTGATTAGGCCTTAATATATTAGATAGCCTACACATTGTGCAGGACAGGAGACAAGTACATTAAGAACTTGATTAATAGTATGCTGGATCAAAGAATCTCCTAAAAATATCCCCCTCAGATAAAACTCAGATTATGTATAGCAAGCTGTTACCTTTACCAATCTGTAGGCCTAAGCCTTTTGTCCATTTACGCAGTGCTATAATTAGGGCAGTCCCCATAAAAGAAATAAACAAATCTTGGTCGACCGAGAGTCATCTGTTCTTTCGACCAATCAATTACATTTTAAAAGGTGTATTTGTCCCTATATAGACACACCCTATGTGTTTAAATAAAATCAGTATTAAGTATAAGTATTCAGACCCCTTGACCTTTTCCACATCTTATGTTACAGCCTTATTCTAAATTGGATTAAATAAATAAATGTCCTCATCAATCTACACACAATACCCCATAATGACAAAGAGAAAACAGGTTTGTAGAATGTTTTGTAAATTGATACAAACAAAAACAGAAATACCTTATTTACATACAGTACCAGTCAAAAGTTTGGACACCTACTCATTCAAGGGTTTTTCTTTCTTTTTACTATTTTCTACATTGTAGAATAATGGTGAGGACATCAAAACTATGAAATAACACATATGGAATCATGTAGTAACCAAAAAATTGTTAAACAAATCAAAATATATTTTTACATTTGAGATTCTTCAAAGTAGCCACCCGTTGCCTTGATGACAGCTTTGCACTGTCTTTGTATTCTCTGAACCAGCTTCATGAGGTAGTCACCTGGAATGCATTTCCATTAACAGGTGTGCCTTGGTCAAATAGCCCTTACACAGCCTGGAGGTGTGTTTTGGGTCATTGTCCTGTTGAAAAACATATGGTAGTCCCACTAAGCCCAAACCAGATGGGATGGCGTATCGCTGCAGAATGCTGTGGTAGCCATGCTGGTTGTGTGCCTTGAATTCTAAATAAATCACAGACAGTGTCACCAGCAAAGCACCCCCACACCATCACACCTCCTCCATGCTTCATGGTGGGAACCACACATGCAGAGATCATCTGTTCACCTACGCCGCGTCTCACAAAGACACAGCAGTTGGAACCAAAAATCTCAAATTTGACCTCATCAGACCAAAGGACAGATTTCCCACCGGTCTAATGTCCATTGCTCGTATTTCTTGGCCCAAGCAAGTCTCTTCTTCTTATTGATGTCCTTTAGTAGTGGTTTCTTTGCAGCAATTCGACCTTGAAGGCCTGATTCACGCAGTCTCCTCTGAACAGTTGACGTTGAGATGTCTGTTACTTGAACTCTGAAGCATTTATTTGGGCTGCAATCTGAGGTGCAGTTAACTCTAATGAACTTATCCTCTGCAGCAGAGGTAACTCTGGGTCTTCCTTTCCTGTGGCGGTCCTCATGAGAGCCAGTTTCATCATAGCGCTTGATGGTTTTTTCAACTGCACTTGAAGAAACTTTCAAAGTTCTTGAAATGTTCCGTATTGACAGACCTTCATGTCTTAAAGTAATGATGGACTGTCGTTTCTCTTTACTTATTTGAGCTGTTCTTGCCATAATATGGAATTAGTATTTTACCAAATAGGGCCATCTTCTGTATACCCCCCCCCCCCCACACACCTTGTCACAACACAACTGATTGGCTCAAACGCATTAAGAAGGAAAGACATTCCACAAATTAACTTTTAACAAGGCACACCTGTTAATTGAAATGCATTCCAGGTGACTACCTCATGAAGCTGGTTGAGAGAATGGCAAGAGTGTGCAAAGCTGTCATCAAGGCAAAGGGTGGCTACTTTGAAGAATCTCAAATATAAAAATATATTTAGATTTGTTTAACAATTTTTTGGTTACTACATGATTCCATATGTGTTATTTCATAGTTTTGATGTCCTCACTATTATTCTACAATGTAGAAAATAGTAAAAATAATGAAAAACCCTGGAATAAGTAGGTGTCCAAACTTTTGACTGGTACTGTAAGTATTCAGACCCTTTGCTATGAGACTCTAAATGTAGCCCATGTGCATCCTGTTTCCATTGATCATCCTTGAAATGTTTCTACAACTTGATTGGAGTCCACCTGTGGTAAATTCAATTGATTGGACATGATTTGGAAAGGCAAACACCTGTCTATATAAGGTCCCACAGTTAACAGTGCATGTCAGAGCAAAAACCAAGCCATGAGGTCGAATGAATTGTCCGTAGAGCTCTGAGACAGGATTGTGTCGAGACAAATATCTGGGGAAGGGTATCAAAAAATGTCTGCAGCATTGAAGGCGCCCATGAACACAGAGGCCTCCATTCTTAAATGGAAGAAGTTTTGGAACCATCAAGAGTCTTCCTAGAGCTGGCCGCCCGGCCAAACTGAGCAATCGGGGGAGAAGGGCCTTCGTCAGGGAGATGACCAAGAACCCGATGGTCACTCTGATAGAGCTCCAGAGTTCCCCTGTGGAGATGGGAGAACCTTCCAGAAGGACAACCATCTCTGCAGCACTCCACCAGTCAGGCCTTTATGGTAAAGTGGCCATACGGAAGCCACTCCTCAGTAAAAGGCACATGACAGCCCGCTTGGAGTTTGCCAAAAGGCACCTAAAGGAATCAGACCATGAGAAACAACATTCTCTAGTCTGATGAAACCAAGATTGAACTCTTTGGCCTGAATGTGAAGCGTCAAGTCCGGAGGAAACCTGACACCATCCCTACGGTGAAGCATAGTGGTGGCAGTATCATGCTGTGGGGATGTTTTTCAGCAGCAGGGACTGGAAGACTAGTCAGGATCGAGGGAAAGATGAACGGCGCAAAGTACAGAGATCCTTGATGAAAACCTGCTCCAGAGTGCTCAGGACCTCAGACTGAGGCGACGGTTCACCTTCCAACAGGACAACGACCCTAAGCACACAGCCAAGACAACGCAGGAGTGGCTTCGGGACAAGTGTCTGAATGTCCTTGAGTGGCCCAGCCAGAGCCCGGACTTGAACCTGATTGAACAGCTCTTGAGAGACCTGAAAATAGCTGTGCAGCGACGCTCCCCATCTAACCTGACAGAGAGGATCTGCAGAGAAGAATGGGAGAAACTCCCCAAATACAGGTGTGCAAAGCTTGTAGCGTCATTCCCAAGAAGACTCGAGGCTCTAATCGCTACCAAAGGTGCTTCAACAAAGTACTGAGTAAAGGTTCTGAATACTTATGTAAATGTAATATTTCCGTTTTTGGAGAAAAAAAAACAGTTTTTGCTTTGTCATGGGGTTGTAACGTAACAATGTGGAAAAAGTCAAGGGGTATGAATACTTTCCGAATGTACTGTGTATATATATATATACTGAGAATATACTCTCAAGCTCTGTAGCAATTCTTTGCTTGAGTAGCAATTTTTATTTAAATATGATTATGTAGTTATAATTTGACTGATTACCTGCATCATTATCATGATATTGATGGCTTACTTTACCTTGAGACATCCTTGAGAATGTGACAAGTTTGCGAAGCATGCGTGCTATAGAAGACCATGTTGACATTCAACAGCCAGCAAGTCCATGGAGACAGTCGGTAGGAAGATCCGTCAGTTCGATCCATAATGTTGGAGTTTTTCATTGGTTGAGACTGTGGGAGCACCCACCGTTGACGCCGAGCTGAGACATATGTTTTTTCTACTGACTCTGCCATTTTGTGATTTTCCCCCCATCAGCATGGGGGGAAAATATGCGCTGTTTCAACAGAAAAAGAGCACGTAAGCTCAATTTTTGATCCAGTCCCCTAATATGAGCAATTTATTAATTCTCTCCCCATCTCTCGCTGCGCTTAATCAATTTAGGGAGATTT